ACCACCATTTTCATTAATATTATTTTTGTTATGGTTACTGTTTTTGTTATTATTATTATCATCAAAAGTATCATTATCATTATCAATTTATTATTGTTAGTATTATAATTATTATTATTTACCATCAATGTTATTATTATCTTCATTACTTCCATTACAATTATTATTGTTATTATTATTATTGTTATCATCACTAGAGAGAGAGAGAGAGAGAGAGAGAGAGAGAGAGAGAGAGAGAGAGAGAGAGAGAGAGAGAGAGAGAGAGAGAGACAGAGAGACAGAGAGAGAAGAGACAGAGACACGCACACACACACACACACACACACAGAGAGAGAGAGAGAGAGAGAGAGAGAGAGAGAGAGAGAGAGAAAGAGAGAAAGAGAAAGAGCGGGATGGGGGAGGAGACATGAGTATACAGATGTTCCTTCTGTGTATTACGTAACATATAACAACACATGTCCGGGATATAGATTACGTCAGCTGATTGGCTAATGTTCAACATGCCAGACGTACGATACATTGTCTTCAGTAGCTTATATAATACATGAAGTGAGTGATAACAGAACCGATAATAATGATAATCATGATGAGCGTTGTGATAACGATGGCGATGACAGGGATGATAAGAGCAATAGCAATAATTAAGATGATAATGACAATGGAATGGTAATTAATTGATAATAACAATAGCAGCAGCTGAGAATGATGACATGATGATCTATCAATACTAGTACTAGTACTATAATATTCCTAGTATTAGCAATACTGACAATAATAATAATAATAATAATAATAATAATAATAATGATGATGATAATTATAATGAAGGTCATGATGATAATGATGTTGAGGTATTGATTGCCTTAGTAATGATATAGGTAACAATGACGATAGTGATAATGATAATGGTGAAAACGACATAGATATTGATAATATGAAGATTAGTAATGCCTGTGATGATTACTGCTGTGAGAATGGTGATAGTAAAGATGATGATGATACTGACAGTAATTATAATGATAAGAATATGATAATAAAAAAATATAACTATGATAATTGTAATAACACCATTGACAGTTATAATAGTAATATCAATAACAACAGCAACATCCAAAAAATGGCAACAATAACCATGCATACTTCCAGATGTTTTATTTAGATGCTTGATTAGATGTGACAGATTTACACTTGACAGCTTGATTGTTGTAATGGATTTTAGCAGTGTCTTGGTAGCTGCTTAAAAAAAAAAATGTATCTTTATCAGGATTTATTTTGTGGCCGATAATGTCGAAATATTTATCTGCTTCTCTAAGAGTACATTAAGAATTTATGATAAATTGATCGTAGTTTCTTAAACATTGAACAAGAAGACAGTTGTTTGCAATGGCCGATAGATCGTTAATTGATATATATGAATACGATCGGGCTTAGTGCAAAGCCTTATGGAACACCGAATTAAATTCGCTGCTTTTATATTCATTCCTGAATTCTGACTGACTACGGTCTTGTGGATAAGTGATTTTTGAACTAATGGTTATCAACTCAAAAGTTATAATGCCACGTTTCCAAAGTGATGAGGGATCGGATAGTATGTACTAACATATATATAACATCCCTTAATGAATCAAAAGGCAATGTCGTCGTTCCAATCGTTTTTCGAATACCGGTTGTGGTTTGAAAACTGTTGTGAGACTTGCCCCAGTTGTTTTGCTGAGATGAGCGGGCAGTTGTTTTGTACACTTGTCTCCCGATTATTGCGAAAAGACTTTTTGCTGGTCTTTGCTATTTGTGGATTTTAAGCAAATATATATTTTATATTTTTCTTAGACACTACTGTTTCAACTATTGCTCATATTTCGGGATAACTGTGTGTACATTGAACTTATTTTTTAATGTTTGATATTACAGCATCCGTTACGGGTGCAGTGTTTTGTGACCCTTGTAGGTTTGTTAATAAGCTATTAAGTTGTTCTACTTAATGATCCCATTTAGCTTTGTATTTGCTTTGTTTAAATCGCCTTTAACTCCCCTACGATGAAAAGAGAGAGGGCTTGCTTTCCATTAACATTTCTCTATAAACATTTTTGAAATTGGTGCATGATTCTGCTGTGACACGGTAATGTCTGTTAATTGCAATAGTAATACAGAAAAAAAAATGCATACTATATATCAGAATTGCCAAGATGTACTCTGCAACTCTGTTATTTACAGAAGGGGAGATCTTATTAGATTTAAATGTATCTTCTAGAATCTGGCAGCTTTTCGTAGATGCTATCTATAAGGAAAATCTTGAATGTAAATGAAACTACTTAATGTTTCTTAGTGAAGGAAGGTTTCACTAATGTAAAGGATTTTAACATTTCTTTCCTTAAAGATCATTTCAATTTCTTCAAAGTGAGGTCTCTTTTTTATATGCAGCCGGTCTTGCTCACTATCTAGTTGCATCGAACATCTTGATCAATTTTGTATTTTCCTTTTTTTCAGGAATTACTTCTCTTTGTCTAGAAAAAGACTCCTGAATTTGTCAATGATCCAGGATTCATCCCTTTGCCTCGAAAGTAACTGTGAAATATGAGTAATATGTCTTTTTTTTGTGATATGCTATTTTACAGTTGGTATGTTTTCATAGATATAGCCATAAGTCTTCAGTACCTATTGCTGGTATCTGTATCATATAAGAGTAAGATGTTAGAGAGCGTTTTGTGCAGTTCCTCTCTTGTTTTACTTTTCTATTGTACTGCAGTCCTTACCCTCGTTGGTATTGCTTTGTTTCCTCTCGGTCTGCGTTGTTGTTCATGGCGAGTGTTTGCACCTGTGGAGCAGGAGACGACTTCTTCTTCTTCTTCTTCTTCTTCTTCTTCTTCTTCTACTGGCTTGTTCCCTGTGCGGGGTTGCCGGTTGCCGTTATCTATCTGTGGCCACATCATGATTAGGTTGGCGCAATGTTTTATGACCGGATGCCCTTCCTGACGTCAACCCTCCTCCTTTATCCAGGCTGTGGCAGGTATTGGCAGGTGGAGACTGTTGCCCCGAGTGGATGCGTGGGGCAGGAGGCTAACGTTAATGATGGGAGTGATAGTAACAAGGACAAATATATCATTACTACTTCTACTGCTGCTGATGATGATACTACTACTATCATTATTAACATTATTTTGTTATTGTGTTTATTATTATTATTATTATTATTATTATTATTATTATTATTACTATTATTACTTTTATTATCACATCATTATTTTTGTCACATCATTATTGTCATTAACATTATCATTGTTGTTGTCATCATTATTATTACTATTATTATTATTGTCATTATAATTACTATCATCGTCATCATTTTCATCATCACCATTATTATCATTATTACTATAATCATTACTATTATTATTATCATCATCATCATCATCATCATCATCATTATCATTATCATTATTATAATCATCACCACATTATCATCATCATCACTGTCATTATCATCATTGCTCTTGTTATGAAAATGAAAAATAACAAAATCAACAACAATGATAAATGACACTAATGACCATAACAGGAATGACAGAATACCAATAATGATAATAACCACAAAGACGGTAACAATGGCAATGATAATAATAGATGCAATGATAATAACTAACACCAGAAAAAAAAACAATAATAACACCGATGATAGAACACCATAGACACAATTAACGACACGAATACTGATAACAAAAATAACAATTTTGAAAGTTATTGATAGAACACCATAGACACAATAACGACACGAATACTGATAACAAAAATAACAATTTTGAAAGTTATTGATAGAACACCATAGACACAATTGACGACACGAATACTGATAACAAAAATAACAATTTTGAAAGTTATTGATAGAACACCATAGACACAATTAACGACACGAACACTGATAACAAAAATAACAATTTTGAAAGTTATTGATAGAACACCATAGACACAATTGACGACACGAATACTGATAACAAAAATAACAATTTTGAAAGTTATTGATAGAACACCATAGACACAATAACGACACGAATACTGATAACAAAAATAACAATTTTAAAAGTTATTGATAGAACACCTTAGACACAATTAACGACACGAACACTGATAACAAAAATAACAAATTTAAAAATATTCTCTTCCCTGCAGATTGTGCAAATCAGAACCGTGCAACATGCGGGTATTTTCCATTTTGCATCTTTGCTTCCTTGTACTTGCAATGGTAAGAAATAAAAATAAAGGATGGTATTTTTTCCTTGTTTCTTGTTTGCTTTCTTTTTTTTCTCTCTTATTACTATATTTATTTATTATATATTTTTTTAGTTTTTTCTTTTTTTCTCTCTCTCTTATTTTATATTTATCTATTATTTATCTTTCTTTCTCGTCTTTCTCTCTTATTTCTATATATATATATATATATATATATATATATATATATATATATATATATATATATATATATATATAATTATACATGCTATTTCTCTCTCTTTTTCCTCTCTCTCCTATTTTTATATTTCTCTATTGTATCATTTCTCTATTGTATCATCTCTCTCTTATTTTTATATTTATCTATATTTTTTCTTCTTTCTTTCTTTCTTTTCTCTCTCTTTTTTCCATATTTCCCTATTATATTTGCTTCTTTCTTTTCTCTCTTATTTCTATATTTTTCTATTGTATTTTTTTCTTCATCTTTCTTTCTTTTCTCTTATCCTTATTTCTATAGTCATCCATATTTTTTCTTTTACTTTCTTTCTTTTCTCTCTCTCTTTTTTCTATATTTCTCTTTTTCTTTTTTCTTTTTTTCTCTCGTTATCTACTTTCTGTGCAATATCTTCTTTCCTTTTCTCTCATCCTCTCTTGCAAGTTTCCTTTTATTGCATTTCCTCGCTTTGATTTTCTTTCGCTGGCTTCTCCATTACCATATGTCTGCTTTTACATACATACAAACTTAAACCCACACACATACACTCAAATACACATAGAGAAAGATAGATAGATATGTAGTATGTGTGTGTGTGTGTGCGTGTGCGTGTGTGTGTGTGTGTGTGTGTGTGTGTGTGTGTGTGTGTGTGTGTGTGTGTGTGTGTGTGTGTGTGTGTGTGTGTGTGTGTGTGTGTGCGTGTGTGTGTGTGTGTGTGTATGTGTGTGTGTGTGTGTTTGTGTGTGTTTATGTCTATGTATAAACACAGACATACACACACACATACACCTTTTTTTATTTATTTACGTATTCATTTGTTTATTTATTTGTTGAAACATATATATATTTCTATCTACCTAGCTCTCATCGCACCTCCCCCACCCCCCCCCCCCCACCCCTTTCCCACCCTCCCGACAGATGCTGAGCCTGCATCTCGTGACTGCCAACCCAGTGCCAGAACCAGGGATGCCCATTGAATTAGACCTGACGATTCCTGATGGTGTCACTGTCATGAAAAAGGTCTGTAGTGTAACAAGACAAATATATTTTTTTTTTCCTTCTAAGGGCATGGTATATTTTTGCTACGTTAGGGTTTGAATTAATGGTAATAGTGATGATGATCATACAATTGCTTATAATGATGAGGATAATACTGATATTAATCATAATTATAATAATGGCAGTAATAGCAATAATGATGATTATAATAATAATAATAACATTCATATGATTTATAATATTATAGTTATTAATATCATTATCATTATGATAATAAGGTTAATAATAATTACAATGATAATAATAAGGATGATGATCAGAATAATGATAATGATAATAATAATAATAATAATAATAAAATTAATTATAATAATGATAATAATAATGATGATAATGACAATAATGATGATGATCATAATAATGTTAATAATAATAATGATAATAATAATAATAATAGTAATAACAATAATGATAATAATATGATAATAATAATAATAATAATGATTATTATCATTATCAATATTATTAATATTGCTATTATTATTATTATTATTGCTATCATCATTACTATAATAATGATAATAATAATATGGATAATCATTATAATAATAATAATAATAATTATTATTATTATTATTATTATTATTGTTATTATTATCATTATCATCATTATTGTTATCATTATTATTATCGTTATTATTGCTATTATTATTATTATCTTTATTATTATCATTATTATTATAATCATCTTTTTATTACTTTTATTATTATTATTATCATTATTGTTATTATTATTATTGCTACTATTTTTTTTATCATTATAATAATAATGAAATTAATCATAATAATAATAATAACAATAATAATAATGATCATATTCATAATAACGACAATAATAATGATAATAATATGATGATACTACTACTACCACTAATAGTAATAGTGATAATGTTGATTATGATAATGATAACAATAATAATAATAATTACAATAACAATAATAGTAATAATAATTATGATATCAATGATTATAACAGTGACAATGACAGTAATAATAACAATAACAATAATGACAATTATGATGATAATGACAATAATTATTACATTAATAATAACTATAATAATGGTGAAGATGATTATAATGAAGATGATGATAATGATGATAATGATAATAATAATGAAGATGATGATATTGATGATGATGATGATGATAATGATAATAATAGTGATAATAACAATAATAATAATAATAATAATAACAATAATAATAATAATAATAATAATAATAACAATGATAATGATAATAATAATAATAATAATAATGATAATAATAATAATTCTAGTAATAGTAATAATAAATATAAAAACAATAATATCGAAAACAACAGTAGCGAAAAGAAGGAAAGTAATTATCATTAACATAATCGGGCATTGTAATAATTACAAATATACATATAAATCAAGGAAATTGATAACATGGATCTTCACTACACTGATATGATATTGCCCCCCCACACTTCACTTTTTTTTTTTTTTTTTTAGTTGGAAGCCATAAATCAAGGAAATTGATAACATGGATCTTCACTACACTGATATGATATTGCCCCCCCCCCCACACTTCACTTTTTTTTTTTTTTTTTTAGTTGGAAGCCATAAATCAAGGAAATTGATAACATGGATCTTCACTACACTGATATGATATTGCCCCCCCCCCACTTCACTTTTTTTTTTTTTTTTTTTAGTTGGAAGCCAAAGATAAGGAAATTGATAACATGGATCTTCACTACACTGATATGATATTGCCCCCCCCCCCACTTCACTTTTTTTTTTTTTTTTTTAGTTGGAAGCCAAAGATAAGGAAATTGATAACATGGATCTTCACTACACTGATATGATATTGCCCCCCCCCCACTTCACTTTTTTTTTTTTTTTTTTAGTTGGAAGCCAAAGATAAGGCAGTGGACTGCAACGCGACTATCACACCGTAGTAAGAAGAAGGAGAAGGAGAGAGAGGAGAAAGAGAAAGAGAAAAGCACGTAGATCAAACGAAGAAAGGAAGTGGTCCAT